AGCGGATATGGCCGAGGAAAAAACTTGGCTAAATTTGATCTGCTTATCAAATATTTTGCAGCTAACTTTGATTTATTTTATATTATTTTTTATTTGGCATTCGCAGCGTGCTGATGTTAATCAATTTGCGCAAATTAAAAATTAATTGCAAATTTATTGCTTTTAATTTTCCAATCGTTGATTTATACCACCAGAAATCGCACCAACAACAACAGTGGCAATGACAACAACAACGACAACAACAGCTGCAACTGCGCATTGCCCAACAGTTTGTGCCCCTGTTGTGGTGGCTTTGCATCGGGTGCACTTAAGATACTTCTTAAAGCTGTTATAGCTTTATTGATATTTAAGTATATATTAAGCGGAAGTGACTTTAGGAGTTGTAAAAGAGATACCCTATAAAATAGGAATTCATGTAAACTATGAAATGAACTTTGTCTCTCTCAGGAAGGATATAGTACGCAGAGAGGAAGCGGAAGAGAGAAAGAGAGAGATAGTGAGTGAGTGAGTGCTAGAGAGAGGTAGAGAGAATGAGAGAGAAAGAAAGAGATAGATGGAAGTCAGTAGTAAGAGTAAGGGTAAAAGAGTAAGAATAACTGGAGAAAAATGAAGAACTAAGAAAAAGCAATTAAATATAGATTGGACAAAGGCGAATATAGAATAGATCATGTATAACAAAAAGCGAATACGGAATAGGGATTAGTGGAAATAAAATAGACAGTAGATAATAGAGGATAGGGAATATACAATAGGGAATGGAGAATAAACATGTGAAAATAAATAGAAAATACAGAATAGGAATTAGTGAATAATGAAAGGAGAATAGGGAATAGAGAATAGAGATTTGACAGTCGACAACAGAGATTGGATAATGGAGAGTGGAGCATAGAGAATAGAGTATATAGCAAAGAGTATAGAGCATAGATAATAGAGAGAGTGAGAATATAAGTAGTAATGTTCTTAAGCTCTTACACCATGCGAGGAATAGAGTGAGGAGAAAGAGAAAGCATGATCTTCTTTTACAATCCTTCTAGATTTTTAAGATCAGAACCAAACTTTTTACCTTCATTTTACTTATTGCTGTAAGTCTATCCTTCTCAGCTTTCCATTCTTGCTCAGTCTTTTTGAATATTTAGCTTTTGTTCTTCGAAATTATAACATTTTTTAACAGGTTTGCATAACGCTTTTTTTTTGCCTTTTCGGGAACTTAGTTTAAACAGAAATGTTAACTAATTTACATACTGAAAGCTACAATCTGGGATACTTATATATTATGTAAATGTTATAAAATGACAGATGTGTGGCTTTTGGTCAAGACCCGATCCAGCAGGTCTTGAGGGTGGTGGCGTTTCAGTCTCCTCCTTATACCAGTTCGGCAGTTGACTGTGTTATGCGCTGCAGAGCATAGGCGTCTGGCCAAGTTACTTAGATGGGAGTCCAGTGAATATTTGCAAATTATATTTCTTATAGTCAGATATACCACACTCGATCACATTTAGTTTATTACAGGGTATAGCTGTGCTATCGCCGTGCACTATTCGTAGTTTTTTTTTAGCCGAAAACCAATAGCAAATGGTCATTAAAATAAAAGCAGTTCAGCTTGAGCTCGTTTTTGGCCTTTGAGTTGAATCGGAAGCCGCGTATCAATGTCATAAATAATATTTAAAATTGCATGGGGCGTTTAGACATTGACAATTTGGCCGTGTGGGGTGCCTCATACTAATTTAGCTGCGTGCTGGGCTAATAATGATATTCCAATTGATACGCTTTTGGAACAGTCCAAATTATTCAAAAGTCCAAATGCCAAACGATCGGGCGAGCACAACGGCGAGTCGGCCACGTCCCTGGCCAATTGTTTGTGGCCAGATGATCAGTGGACCATTGCCACCAGGCGCGATTGCCAGCGAAAAGCAAAAAGCAAAAAGCAAACAGCAAAAGCAACAAAAACAATTTATGCAGCCAGCGAAATGCAACAATAAATCTCATTTTATGCAGCGCAGAGAGAACGGCCCTTTTATAGGTAACGCTAATGTAGCCCAAAATTGAACTTGACATTTGAATGCCCAATTAACCGTGACGTGTGCGCGAGCAGCACGTCCAGATGCCCAGCCCCAGGCTCAGTCTTAGTCTCATCCCCAGCCTCTGTCTGCTCTCTAGCTGGACAGTTGGAGGAGCAGCAGCTCGCCATTTGAGGTCAAGTTTTTTGGGCATTCCAATGCGTTATGTTTTATTGGAGCAATATAGCAATGCATTGTGCCGGATGTAAGCAGACACACACATATATATATATTCATATATATATAGCTCCCCAATCAGCTTTGGCTGCTAATTAACCCACTTTCTAAGAGCGCGCGACCTTTTTTATCTGCGCCATTCGAATCAGGGGCCAGCCATGTGCAAGATTTGCCTGCCATTAAAGAGAAGGAGAAAATGTGCTCAATGGACATTAGATATTGGACACTGGACATTGGTCAGTTGGCCATTGGTCTGCATGCGATTCTCACGCATGCCAAATGCGCAATGTGGGTATTGCATGCGCGTCGTTGGCTGGTCGTTGTCTTCCGCCTTTGGCATCGTCTATAAAATCACGATAAATATTTATACCGCACTTAGATTTATGGTGATTCATATCGCTCCAGCAGAAGTCAACGGCCAATGGGCATTGGCGGCGACGGCGACGGCGACGGCTGCATGGGCCATAAACATTTTTATTAGCCATAATTGCACAATCCAATCCAAGCGACCGATTCATTTGCGTGCATTGGCCAAAAGCGTCAAATCGCCAGATATGAATATGTTTATTAAGTGCCTGCCAAACTTGTTGCATTGCATTTGTCAGCAATCTGGACGGATCGCAAGATTTCGTTATCTAGACTTAGCCTTGACACGCTACACACAATCGATAAACGGCCCTAACGGTCTTTTTTTACCCTCTTTTTTTGTGGTTAATAGCGGTAATCGTAAATGGCCTGAAAACTGTTTCGCCAGCACATAAAATTCAACATTTAAATTAATAGAATTATGTTCGCTAATTTTGTTTAATAGCTCAACTAGCGAACAAGTCCCGCGGCCTCACAATCACCTCACGATATACACATATATATATACTGATACATGTACATATATATATTTATACAAATTCATTTGACTATAAAGAATTGATATATTGCCCAAAGCAGGACAGCTTTTATTGTTTTGTTATTTACTTTTGTTTCATTAGACCAATTAGACTTAAGGCTTACATTTTCTTATATTTATACAAAGAATTTATGTTTAATTTAAATAATATTTATATTTTTATTAAATGTCAAAGCACTTTGCAAAATGCATATATTTGCATTTAAAATTAAATGTATAGAATTTGACATTATATTACGGTGTAAACACATTCCTATTGAAGGAGAAATGACTGAGTGGGTAGGGCTTTGCTTGACTTACGTGTGAAGGCAATAATCATAGGAATTATAAAATTAAAAGGATCACAATTTGACATGTGCATTATTATAATATATATGCAAACATATTTTGAAATTGCAAATCTGTTGGTCTTCAACAAACAGAGATCGTTGGGTTTATATACTTATCTTCTTGCTAGGTAACCACTACAATCTGTGTATATAAGCTGCAGACTTGCCATATGGCATATTTAAAACATAGAACAGATATGTATTCTATATAATTCTGCTTATTGTCAGTATGGAAACTCGAGTAATATTTAATATTTTATATATCAGCAAATATGCAATTGACTCACAGTGAACTGCTCCATGTAATTTCCAACAGGATCCTGACTCTCCGAGATTCCGTCTCCAGATATCCTCCCACTGCAACTCGGTTTATTCATACTCCGTATATCTATTTTAAATGTGTTCAAATCCTAAAATATTTTCTTCACTTTTCCTGCTCTTATTGTTTTCGTTAAACAAACAAATTTTAGATAAATTTGATTTTTATTTTATTTTATTTTTTCCAGAATTTATTTGTGTTTTTTGTCAGCACTTTGGTGCAGCCTTCAAATGACGTTTGCTATAAATATAAATAAACGCCTGATCAATGACACATTGGCAACCGTAAACTGTGATAATGTATTTGACTGCATAATTGGGCTTGGTGGTGGCCCCCGGCCATGGGAGCGTTTGGGACCCTGTCAGGCGCGTAAGTGGCGCTAAGTGTTTTCTCTTGTTACTTACAAATGCAAATTGTCGAATGACAAAATTCATTTCAATTGCTGCAATTTATTGCATGCGCAGCCGCAGCTCGGCCGTGCTTCCTTTTGACCCAGTTTGTGAGCGCGCGTTGCACTAATACCAGGCATCCTCCTTCAATGGCCAAACTAGTTTCAAGTTATTTAACGCATGCATTGCGTGTGTCAGCAGCCAGCATGAGAGAGTGAGAGAGGTAGAGACAGAGAGGGAGAGATATTTATATATGTATATATAGTTTGTGTGCATTGGTGTGCTGGCCTTGATCTAGAATTTCGATTTTTCCGATGCTTGCGATTTCGTTTGCGTTGTGCGAGACGAGCATGTCCCAATGCTCAGGAGGCTGTACAACGCGGCGTATGCGCGATGGCATCTGATCTTCGCTCGCGCGGTTGCGTAATCTCGTTTTGTGTACTAAGTACCGGTTTAAACGCACACTGGACCAGTTCACAATATATACATATATTTCGACTCATATGCATCTAAGTATGCAGCAGAGCCAATCCAAGACCTGACTCCGCTGGCGTTGAGTTTGTTTCTGCACTTATAATTTATTGAGAAATTTAATTGAATTCGCTTGGCCAACCGGTCGCATAATTTTGGCCTCTGATTACGGATTGAGCAATTCGCATGACGTGTTCAACATTTGGCATTTGATCGTTCTATATATCTTACGCAAAACAATTGGTTCTATCTTGCATTTTGATGGAAAAACAGTTGTTAGTTCGTCACGTTCCGCACTATAAAGGCAGGTGGATAATATTTCCAGTTCAGTTTATTCTCTGCATTGAGCTGCCCCACAAAATGAGGTGCTTGACTGCCTTGGCTTTGATTTTGCTACTGGCTGACTTGGTTTTGGGCCAGGACTACGATGATGTTCAAAATAATAACTATAATTTTAATGCACGAAAGAGGCATTTTGAAAAAATCAATAAAGGTTCCTGAAATAACAAAATTTCGGATGACATTTGCGTTAACCTTTTGTCTCTTGCAGCCATTTGCTACTCGAAGCCAGACTATGGCAAATGCAAAGGAAATCGACAGCTCTGGTTCTTCAATAAGTACAAGATCAAGTGCGAGAAGTTCACATACTCGAATTGCGGCGGAAATGAAAATCGTTTTTATACCAAAGATGAATGCGATATATTTTGTACTGAAAAGTCCAAGGATTGGCTGAGAAAGGATACCGCCCATGTGGCTTGATTTCCATTCCTCATAATAAACCCGAAGAATATGCTCTATTGCAATCTTCTTATATTCACAATCTTCTTATATTCACACATAGCTAATACCACACTTTACTAACTGTCAGAAATTTCTCGAAGTTCATCTGTAATGAAAGATTTTTTAAAGGGAAGAAGTTCAGAGAGCTTGACAACAATTAATTCGACGAAAATTCCTGGTTGGAACAGCAAAATTAAGTCCACCCAAAAGTAATATAGAAATTATATAAGCAGAAATCAACTTATACAAAAAGACGGTCATAGCTAGGGACTAAAGAGTGAAATGTAAGGGACTTTCTGCTGCTATTGGTGATGAGACCTTTTAGTAGGGAATTATTATTTCGAGCTAAATTATATAATTGCCATTATATAATCTGTAAATCAGTGATGAGTGTTGGAGAGACAACATTTGAGTGCATATTTGTAAATTTAATCAACAAAACACATTTGCATTTCGAGCAGGGGCTAAATAAAGCAGCCTCGCATAGAGAATAGCTCTTGCAGTATACTCGTAATCTTCAGCGGATGGAGAGTGAAAATGCAATGCGTCAACTATTGCATACACAATTGCCAAACTAGAAGACAAGGAAAGGACATACGACTTTGTGGAAAATTGCAAAATCACTGAAATGCAAATATTTGGAATGCAAATATCTCTAATCTTAGGAGTAAGTTGAATATGGAGCTATACAAATTTTGCATTTTCAAAGTAATTGAGTTTGCTTTCGTAGCTAAGAAAGTTGCAAAAGTTTGCAGAATATATGAATTCCAGTTATAAATGAAAGTTGAAAAAATATCTTCCCAAAATCTAATGATATACGATTTTTAATGTCTTCAGAGAAATTGTTAGCATTAACAGCAGTGTGACTGACACCAAGCAAATATAAGGCGTACTAAAAATATTATTAAAGATTTCTTATATGTTATTTCTCCATTTATTTTCTTAGCTAGCAGTAAAAAATCGTAAACGGTAAAATCAATGCAGTCCCCCACAGTCCCCAACTCATAGCAACAAATGCTGTTCAAGTGAATAAAAATGTTTTTGCTTGAAACATTTGGCGCATTTGTTGCGGCAACTAAATTGCGAATCGCTAGCGTTTCCAGGCACTCGCCCGAAGCGCGTTTCACTGACAAACGGCGATTTTTGGTACAATTTTTAGCAGGCGTGCAGCAGTGGGCAACAGGCGTAAAACAGCTGCAGAGTGCTTTGCTAATTTGCGGCTGCTTTAAATAGGCAGCAAGTGTACACACACTCACACACCCACACACACACACGCACACAGAGGCACAGAGGCAGACCAACACACGCGCGTATGCGTGTAAGTGAGCAAGGGCTGGGCAAACATTGCGCTGCTTGCTCGCATTCGGAACAGGCGAACAGCTTTCGCAGCAGCGAGCGCGCTCTGCATTTGTGTTTGTGCTTTTTGCTTTGTTTGACTGCTGTCGTTGTTGTTGTTGTTTTTATTGCTGCTGCTGCTGTTGCGGCGGCTGTTCTCGCTGTCACAGCGAAAGCTCGTCCGAAAGTTTTACGTGCATGCTTAYATACATATACACAAGTATGTGTGTGTGTGTGCATGTTTATACACATGTATACATATTTGCAAGTTTATATCTGTTTTCCATTGAATGGCAACAATGGCAATGGCGAAATCGAAGCATAAAGTCACGCAATTTCAATTACAAATAAACGCATAAGCAATGCCAAAGGCAAAGGCAAAGCCGAAGCCAAATGCCAGGCTGGCTGGCAAATTTACTATGGCCAATAATAATGCTTGTAATAATGAAATTGTGATAAGCTCTGCGCCACAAATTGCACGCTAGTAAACGACGCAAGAGACGCGAAATAATTTAAACCGTTAAGCGCTGGCTGCGGCGGCATCAAGCGTCGTCATTCTGGCTAGTATCATCACAGGCCCCTCTCTGTCTCTCTCATTCTTGCTCAACACCTCTCTCGCTTACACTCGCTATCGTGTTGCTTGGCAACATTTGACGCACGCCGGCAACATATTGCTGGCAACATTAGCGCATGTGTGCGTGTGCCAGGGAATCACTGGCTGGAAGCTGGAGCTGGAGTTGGAGTCGTTGTCGGGGCAATAGCTCTGCGCTTTGGTGTTTGCCAATTAATATTCGTATGATCAAATGCTTAACGCATTTAGCCTTATAGAAAGAGAGAAAAAAAACTAAAAACTAACAACAAAACCGGCTCACGTCCGACCTGTGTAAATGATCTGCGTTCTCTGATGCACAGATGCGGCGAATTGATGCTGCCAAGCTGCAATCGTTTAAGCCGCGGCCTGTGGGAAAGTGCGCCTTAATTGAATTTAAGGCCGGTGAGGCCAGGCTAGGCCACTCTACATAGCAAATACAGTAAATTAAATGATAAACAGACTGTGCATTCATTTAATTACATACATAATTATGCATTTATTTAGTATGAGTTTGTTGTATAAGGTTTGTCTTTAGTTGTACATATGTATGTATGCATGCTGGCTGGCATGCATGTGCGTATTTGCTCAATATTTCAATAATGTTTTTCCTTTTTGTTTTTCTTTTTGCTTTTCGTATGTTTGGTAAACTTGTTTATGCAATTTGACGAAGACAAATCAGGTTTACAGGTATTTTTTGTTATTTTATTTTATTTTATTTTATTTATTTTTTGGTAAACATGTTATTATTTTATTATTTTTTTTTTGCTATATTTTTTATGCATAGATCGCTATTAAATTTCATTAGTTATGCACTAGGCTGTATGTGTGTATTTGTTTGTATATAGTTCTTCGATTTGGATGTAGTTTATATAGGTGCGAATGCACATTAATTATAGTAGACTTTTTCACATGACTTAATGATTTAATGATTTAATGATTTAATGGATAGGTACTTCTTATGAGCATTCTTGTACCATACAGCAGGCTAACATTTAAAGCATTGCACACATTGAGAGAGATAGAGACTTGAAATTTATATTTTAATACAATAAAAATTAACTAAAAAGTTCGTGTTTAACAAATGATAACAACAAGGCTTTGCCTTAAATTAGTTTCAAATAAAATCAAAGACTAGTTTAAAAATATACATATTTTTTAAAGTTTAAAAATAACAAAGAAAAACGAATGCCTCACAAATATTCAAATGTAATTTTTTTCTTTTGTTTTAATTTGAATTTATATTGTTTTAAATTTAATTTTGTTGTATTTTTTAAGCTAATTTGCTTATAACTTGTATGCGTTGTTTTCATTTTGATTAGAGTTTTGTGAATTGATTTAAAATTATATAACAACGCGCTGTGTCTCATGGGAGTAGTTAATGTATACATATATATTTATGTTCATATATTTATCGCTTGTATATAGCCAATTTGTGGTTTGCTTTATGTATTTTTTGGATATGAATTTTTCATTGCTTTTTTAAGCAGTTCGCTGTTTCAATTGTCGTACAGCGTTTAACATCAATAAAATTGTTTATGTGCCAATAGTAGGTTAATAAATTTATACTTTATACTCGTTTCATGGATTAGATAAATAGCTAAAAATTTGCTAAAACTTGAATACACATACGTTTAGTATTTAATATATATATGTGTGTTTGTGTATATATAGTTAAATGCAACTGCCTTTTATATAGATACTTAAAAAGTTGTAAATGCATTCTTGTTTTTGTTTCTGTGTTTGCAGTTTGTCAAATGATGATATTCATGAATATTGTGCGTTCGATTCTCAAATAGTTTAGCTTGAAAAAAGCTGGATTATTTCTGGAGTATTCAAACATATACATATGTGGATTTATATATATTGCATACAAAATTGTTGTGCCTTTGTAAAAAGTCTTTCTGTTGTTCTGTTGTTCTCTGCGCAAGGACTAGTTTCAATTCTGATTGGAAAAAATCCAACTAAAGCTTGAACAACGCTCCATAGTTGGTCAGGCAAAATAGTTTGGCGCACAGGCTGCGACTGCGACTGTGAGTGCGATTCGTATTGTTGGCCATAGACTGAGTGGGTTTACGGGCGATGGCCAGCTCCTGGCTCTATTTGCTGCCACCGCCACCGCCACCGCAGTACTCGCCCTGCAGCATGCCATTGTCCAGGAGCAGCGACGGCGTTGTGGCAATGCCATCGCGCAGTGCCAGCTGATAGGCCACCTCGAAGGCCTGGCCCAGCGTCAGTATGATCTCGCTGGCCAGATCCTATAGTGGAAAGACATTTATACATATACCGTGAGATGAGATGAGAGTTCATTATGTGTAGTACTTACTGTGCTTTGCACTAGAAACACATGGCAATAGTGCATGTCCTGCTCCTTGGTGATGTAGGCAAAGTGCCGCAGATCCTCCGAGTCCTGGCAGGCGCAATTGATGTTCTGTATCTCATGCTCGCAGATGACACGCTGTAAGCATCAATTGGATTAGTGAGTAGCTCTTCTATTCACCATTCCCCCACACCTACCCTGCTGGCCACGTCTATGAACTCCACGCCCCGGTGGCAAATGGCCAGGGACAGCGGCGCCCCCTGTCTGTGCACCTCTTTGTTCGCCTGATCGCCGGAGGCCTTCAGCTTCTGTATTGATTTCTTTGTGGACTCTGTGCCACGCAGTTCTTTCACAACCGTTGAGCCTAGGTACTGGGGAGAGCATAGAATGATGGACATGAGTATGAAATAAAAGAATTCAATTGGCTGTTATCGACTAGGAAATACTCGTTCGGTGTTTTATTAAAGCTTCTCTGAGTGCAGAAATATATAAGATAATAATCGTAAAATTATTATTGATTTCTAACTCCCTACTAGACATAAAATGTTTTTTTTTTTTTTTTTTTTTTTTTTTATCTGTACAGAAGGTATGCTATAATTTATCTAAATGATTTGATATTTTAATCTTGGAAGCTGAGGCTGAAATTTTTGCATTATTTATCACACACTTTTCATCAATTTTTTACCAATTTATCACACACTTTTATAAAGCAGCTACCCGATCAATATATAAAATGAGTAT